TTTGACTCCCACCCCACCCGTCTAATGGGCTTGTTCACGTGCGATACTGAATTAATAAACGCATTGGCATGTGACACAGACATGCTTTTGGTGCAGTTGCTCATAATACATGTACGATGTGTGGGCTCTTAATTACTCATTTCAACATCCTAGCACATGATCGTGACACTCAACAATTAGCACCTAATTCATGTCACAGACTTATTTGCTGTTTAACTCATATAATTAGGTATTCTGACAGCGAAACGGGATAGGAATATTGACTCAGCTGTCAGATACGACCCTTTGAGGGAACCGTGTTGATGTCATTTCAAATGCCACAATGTCATTAACAAGCCCTACTTATTTACTATACCCCTTTTGGTTCTCTTGTGTGTCACCACCCACACTTCCAGGCCAGCTTTGTGTTTCTGTTTCTGCTTGTGTGCGACTCATAAATATGCCGGCATCATGCAACTATAGTACAACTGTTGTTGTTGCTAACACTCATGTGCATCTTAATTTCTGGAATACTAAGCTAGATGGGTGAATTAATTCTAAGTCCCTGTTTGTTTTAAGATATTTACTGTTCACGACGAAGGAAAGGTGAAGCAACTTGACGTTTGTTTTCGCTGATTTGCACCGAAAGAAAAGCGGGAGAACTTACGTGGCCGTTTCTCGCAAAGTTATGAAGAAAATAAATGAAAGTCACGTAAGAAATGAGAAAACTCGATAATACCTCTACTCAAAAGCTGAAAAGATTAAGTTCTGTCATGCTCATGCATGCAGAGACTGTACCATGCAGCAGAGCTTCATTTCTTTATGCATGAGGGAGGGTAGCCGAATAAGTAAATTTTTATTTTTTTTATAATTTTTTTTAATACAATACAGGTATGAAGTATCTTTTTCCTGTTAGTTATTATAAAATAAATTTACAAAATTTTTTTGGTATTAACTTAAAAAAATGAACTTGTTCATATAAAATTTTATTTTGCGAAAGAAAATGTAATTAGAGCATGGATCTTCTACATTGTACTCTAGGAAGTAGGAACCAATTATTAAAACAATTCTAATCAAATCATGAGCTAATTATAATTTAAAAAAAAATGCAATCCATTGATCTTCTACTCTATACTTAGGAAGTAGGAACATTATATTAAACCAATTCTATAAAATGCGTTTGCCGGGAGTCGAACCGGGTCTATTGCTTGGAAGGCAATTATCCTAACCGTTGGACTACAAACGCGATTGATGAAATTTTGATACACGGTTTTATCTGAAGTGATAAAATTTTAATATTAATGCTTAAAAACAAATTCTTTAAATACAGCGGGGGACAACACACCATTGAATTTCACTTAACAAATAGGAATGGTGTAATAATTGATACAAAAACTAATTTTAGAAAAGAGACAGAACAGAAAGAATATTATTTTTTCTAAAAAGTTATTTTACTTTTTTTAAGAGAAAAAAAGTTACGTATTTTTTCCATTACCTTATGAAGATTACGGTGTTTTTTTTAAAGAACTTTTGAAATATGTATTTGAATTAATTATTTCTCTTGAAATAAAATAAAAAAAACTTAAACTGCCTTATCCCATCTCATATGTTTGACATCCATCCATTGAGATATAATTGAAAAACGTGTGCTCCATTTTAATTAACTAATAGTTTTACTCATTATTATCCTTTAAACTACTTGTTACACATATTTTCTGTCACGAAATCTTTTAATTAAATAAAAATAGTTTTTATTAGTGGAAAAAAATATTAAATAAATATAATATTTAATTATTTTTTATACTAATATGGAACTTCACTTCATACTTAAAATCTAACAATTTCATGAAAATTTAACATCTAGTTAATGATAAGGAATAATATACATAAAAATAAGTTGTAACGAGTTTGGCTATTTATAATGTGATTTTATTTTTATGTGACAAAATTAGGATATAAAAATAGCTATTTACAATGTGATTTTATTTTTATGTGACGAAATTAGGATATAAAAATAAAATAAGAATTTATTTATCCTGGGATAGGAAAGCACTTGATGTGTGTGCCTTCACATTGCAGTTTGCAAGAATAGCCAATCCTAGTCAGACGTCAGGTGAAAACGTTACTGTGGCAATTGTCAGTTCTCACTTTACAGCGTTGCCGTTTACCCCTTTCCCCACGCGCCTCTTCATGCGCGTCCCAACCTACTCATTGCATAACGCCGTAACCGTTTTATGCCTCCTTCTTTGCTATTGTATCCTATCCCGTTAAAAACGTGATTATCCGCTTACGTTACGTCAGATCCATATTTCTTCATGTTTAGTCGCTAGTCACCACTCCCACTTGCGACTAGATACCAATTTTGCTTAATTATGGTTCCTAAACCTAAAGTGTACGATAGAAAGGACATACTGACCCAAAAATGTTCACCATTTATGACTATACCATTTTATTTACTACTTTATGCTATTAACTGTGTTCCTTCTGTTTGTTCATGAATAAATAAGACAAAATTATTAGAAAAAGGTGTTAAAGTCAAGATTATTAGTTATTATTTTTCTATTATGATAATGATAATTAGGACTTTAATAAAGTTATATTTTTTGAATTTGAAGATTCACGTATTAAATAATGTAAATAAATATTTTACGAATATTAATTAAGAAACTAATAAATATTTTTTTTAAAACTTATACTGCTTGATAAAGATAATTTACCGTGGGCGTGGAATGAAAGTGATGAAAGTAAATTTATAAATAAATGAGGCTACGGTGTCATAAGAAAAACTTCCTAAAATAAAGTGATTTCTGTGAAAATTAGAGAAAACAATTTAATTATCACATTTAACTTTATCATATTAAAAAAAATACTTATGATATTTAATTAAATGTATAATTAAATATGTTAATTAATTAATATTATTATAATTATTACATATTCGATTATATATACATAATTAAAAACCATTATAATAAAATATAATTGATTAACATAATTATTATATTTAATTATGTATATACATAATTAATTATGTTAATTAATTATTTATTATTATAATTATTAATATTCAATTATTTATACACATGATAATGATTGTATTAAAATATAATTGATTAACACATTCAATTATGTGTATACATAACCGAATATGTGCTGCATTTTATCTTATTTTTATTTATTTATTTTAAATATATAATAATAATAATTATAATAATAAATAAATAGATAAAAAATAAATAACTTATCTTTATATATAATATATTATTTAAAATATTATTTTTCTTAATTTTATCTAATTTTATCCTACTAATTAATTATAATTTTTTTTTGTTAAATCAATTTTCTCTTATTTTGTTCTCTTTTTTTTCCTCCAATTTTTTCTCTTATCTCAAGTTTCAAGCAAAGCTAGGTAGAATTACAAGGAATATCCCCATTAAAAGTGTACTGACATTATATATTTTTAAAAGGATAAAACTTAAGTAAAATATGATTAAAATTCAAAATCCTGTGGATAATATTTTAATTTCTCATTAATTTAATGTTCATAATGTTATATTATTTCTTTTTATCTTTTTAATTTATTAATTTGATATTTTATACACATTTACTAATATTTAGTCAATGTTATTTTTAAAATAAAATATTTATTTTATATAATTAAGATTTTAATATTTTATAAATAAATTATAT